TCATCGTTTAAGATAGTCTGCAAAGTCTGACAAAGTTTGCCGAAAAGGACACCAGTAAATTTGCTTTGTATAGCAGAGGCTTTGGTAATACATAAAATAAAGCCAGAGCTTTGTGTACAAAAACAATTTGTACACAGTACACACAATTGTACCAAACATTATACTCAAGTGTTGTCTCATATACTGATATCAGATACTGGAAATAATTACTTATTGGGTAGGGCTATCTGATCTGCGTTTTATGCCTTCTGACATTAAACAATAACTCACATGTGCAATCGTGACAAAATTCCCCTGTTCTTCCGCATACTGTATGTATGTACACAGATTGTCAGATGTTAACCAAATATTCCTGTTTACCTATGAAGAGACTGATCAGCAGACTTCAGTCAAGACGTAGAACTGGAAAACCAAGTGAACTACTATCCAGGTACCAGTTCGCAAACACTCAGGTATTTCATTACAAATTAAACTAATTCCTTCGATAGCGAATTTATACAGTTTAAGAACCTTTCTACACTGCAGTGTGTGCGACTTGCATTCACAAGTTTAGTGGCTTTCTTTGAATGGTGAGATTCTTTCTGTGTTTCAAAATAAGCGTGACATATCTAAAAGGGTTTTACGTATGCAACTTTTATGCATATGAAAGCCTATGCATCTCTTCCATGTAGAATTCATCACATAGGAAGTCACTATAAGTCAGGAAGTACTCGATAGCTACTTTGTTCTACTTTGAGACGTTTTAGCAGGGCACACATGAATCAGTCGGTGGTTCAACACTGGTTTTTCTTAATCACAAGGCAAAGCGTAACTGCAGGCACAGATAGCGAAATTGAATAATTATTTTGTGGACGAAGCCTTCAGCAGTATCCTGATTATCATTTCCAGTACCAGTTGAGAACTAATGAAGTTAGTGGTTCTCTGAAGAAATTTTTGTTGTTATTCAGTTATTCGAAACTAAACATTATTCTTTCGTATCTGACTGTTATGTAATTATATCTGATTGACTACTCATTTAAGAGAGTTGACAAAAGAAAACTGGCGGTAGAGAGGGAATAGATTGTTTCACAGCACTGCATACTTTAGCCTTAAGATTTCCCCTAATAGATAGTGCTACTTAGTCTAATAGTCTAATAATGAGTGAAATGTATAATTGTAACAACAGAAGACAAGGGCCAGGCAACAGATCGTTTTATTATGAAAATCAACACGTATTTATACATCTTTCAACTACATTATTATAGACAAGCGCAGTCATCTGATTGGTTGTTTAGGTAGACAACCGCAGGCTTCTGATTGGTTGTTTCGGGATTCCTTGACAAATAGAGTTCTCTCTGCGAATCATATTTTGCCACGTTAACTTTGCTGTGATTGGTTGTTGACTCAGGCTTGTTCCTATTTTCTCACGGCCCATATTAGTGACCTAGACCTTGACGTAGATTAGTGCCAACCAATCGGCTAGCAGCCTGCTCTCACCACACTCGTCCCCCCGTCAAATAAGTGCGACTGAAGTCGGCTTGATCTACTTGGTGCAGGCGTCATCGTTGGCTTGTCTCGCTGTATCCATTTCTGGAGCTCGCTGACGTTCACGCGCCTCTCATTGTTCGCCATTGCGACTGTGTCTGCGTAACCCCATCTCGAAGTGACCCTATATGGTCCTTCCCACTTTGGAAACTGTTTGCCTGACCCTGTCGAACATTCGTCCATACTTCGGCCGACACCTTCATATGCTGCTTTCGCCCGACCTCCCAGCAGCGTCTCAAGTAGCAGCTCCATCGCTGGCAGATCTTGAACGCCACTCACCTGCGCAGAAGCCTTGAAGTCCTGCCCGAAGATCCATATGTCTCCATCAAAAACTGCAGGGTATAGGCTTTTCATTTGTCGGTAGGCAGCGACACCAAATGTAACAACAGAAGACAAGGGCCAGGCAACAGATCGTTTTATTATGAAAATCAACACGTATTTATACATCTTTCATAATGGCGTCATCATTTCCTTAGAAATTTATTAAGATCCATGTCGCAGATAATTTCAGTTAATTTATTTTACCATTAGCTCGTTTTATTTTCCAGCTTTTATGATAACAGTCTGTTTGATATGTTCTTTTGAAGGTGTCTTTATTAACCACCAAATTCAAGTGTAGTTAGAACAGGATAACTATTCCTCTGTCGATTATGTCACAAGGATGACTAGGTCATAACTACTCAAAAAAAAACTTTTCAAGTGTCGGTTTTCACTGATACTGAGTATTTGTCCAGACACTCAACTTCTCGGGCTCCACTCTTGAGGAATCCTGGATTAGGAGAAAACACCTATCCAGTGATGTTTCGTTTCCAAGGGTTGTCTAAGTGAATACAGTTCACTGACTTGCTCAGAAAATAACTGTTGACTGATGGTTTCTAAAATTCATTTGGAAAGTAAAAGTAAAGTAATTCAGTGTAGTATAAACACTTCCAATAAATTTATCGCCTTTAATGTTTACCACACGAGGTACCATACTCTGGTGAAGTTAAAATTTAGATACTCAGCCGATCGGAAAGCAACAATGACCCTAGGATGTCCAATCAGCTAAATAACAGTTTATTCATAAAAAGAACAATTGAATAAAATATAATTGTTCTAAACGCGATACCTGGTTAGTTTCTAATTAGGCTCGGATGAGGTTAACCTAATCAGAGAGACACTAGAGTTGGCTATAGGCAGATAGGAGTTAGCTTATGTGTAGGTTAGGGTTATGTTTAGTTTTGGGATATTTTAGGGTTGGATTAGGGAGAGATTAAGGTTAGAACTAAGTTAGGGGGCCGAACTTACCTTTATATACTTTGGTTACTTCCCAGGTCATTAGTGAGTTCTCACCTCTTGCGTGTACCAAATATAAAATTGCATAAACTCTTTTACAGAACAAAAATTTAAAGCGAACAAGTGTTTTCAATAAATTCTTCTTCAGGCTCTACAATTATAAATCAATTAATGTAAGCATACAATAGCCAGTAAAGGCGAATTAGAATCATATCAGAAAGTGTATTGTGGAACAAGTATAAGATGGGACGAAACAATAGTCATGTAGTTTTTTAATATGCATGGTCAATAACAACATGGGACAGAATGAGATGAAATAATTTAATTTAATGATGTGTGTATATATATAAATATAGTTAACAGAAAATACAGGTTTCAAGAGTGAGTGTAATCAGGGTGTGTGAGGCAATATGAAAATAAACCAACGAATGGGGCGGTCTAGACTTAAGTTCAAGGTTGAAAATAACAACAATAAGAATGATTGTAAAATAATAACGATGATATGGTGTAAAATTAAAATTAAATGTACTATTGGTGAATAATGGTCAAATAATAATAATGAATATAATGAAGTGGAATGAACAGGATTTTGTAAATACGATAGTAAGTTAGAAAAGCACTATTTAAACCTAAGGTAATAAAATCATAAGAAAGGTCATGAAATCATAAAAGTCGAAAATGAACGTTTGTCAATGAAACAGAGGAATAGAAGAAGGAAAAGAAAAGAAAATCGCGAAAGGAATTTATAGTATTAATGGAGGATTTGTTGGCTTTATTGTAGGCCAAGGTAAACATAGAGGTTGAACATACTTCTTCTGTATGCAGAGGGATGATCTTCTGGTATTAATTGCAACTGCTTCAGCTGCTGATAGAAGACGTAGTCGAGCTCCTCTAGATAAATTACTAGGAACGCGGTAAATAACTGAGAACGCTTGGTCAATTTTTATCGGGTGTCCAGTATCTACCAAGTGGGCTAAGACTGCACTATTTATGCCTTTGGTTACTCCTTTACTCAACCATACAGGTACATGTTCACGTGCGCGCATGGATAAAGCCCTCTGAGTACGGCCAATATAACTAGCTCCACATGAACAGTTGAGAATTGTCAGAAGAAGCAGAGAAGAAACGGTTTTGAACGAACATAGAGAAGACAGAGGTGAAAATACGCCACCGAAAATAACGAGAACCAGCCACTGTCAATGCCAGAAATCTAAACAAACTTACCTCTTTCACTTGTCTAACTTAGTCAGTATCTTCTCAATAACAGGTGGCTGTTCGAATAAGGATACCAAAGTCACATGCGATCGTAGCACGAGAGCGAAACTCTCCTCCTTTCATCTCTCTGCGATGAAATCAGTGTGAATATCTCTAACATTCACTCGGCACAAAAAATCAGATCTGATTATTTAACACTAATGCCAAGTTAGTCGGTGCTTCTATTTGGTTGATAGACTTTTCAAGAGCGTTATCCAAATCATTTCCAGCAAGCTACTAGAAACTCTCACCAATAGATGCCTTCATTGACTTGATACTGTGGATCAGATAGCTCACCAGAAACAAGAAGCAATTAGGAAATGTGTCAGCGAAACATCTAAGAAACAACGCCCAATAAATAAGAACAAGAAAATGGAGATGAACTGAAAATAAAGCGTCAGACCCTCGAGTGAATGTCGAATGAGAAGTAATGATTTGAGTGTTCATCCAACACTAACATGGAGGAGGTCATGTGAAGAAGGAATGATTGCTTGTGAGCAGTAGTGGAACCACCTGAAAGTGATAACAGATGACAGATTGAACTGGAAATGTTCTGATGAAGCATTCACTATACTCTACTCAAAACCTTGGCGACCAATAACAATAATAATAATATCAATATAGAAAATGATTTTTGCATTCTTTTTTACTACTAATTCTAATCTTCAAAACAGAAGTAATCTAGACATAATTTATTCTATTATTTTTCATCTACCAATCAGTATGCGACAAATTAACTAACATTTCGATTGGTTTAGGTATATATATAAAAAAACAATCTCTTTAAGTAGCTTAGATTCATGGCAATATTTTCTTTTATTTTCTTCTTTTAATGTTGGCATACAGTTGGTTGTTTTGAGTTTTAGACAGCATTACTATCTTTAACATTGATAAGATTATTGTTGTCACCACCATTGTTATTATTATTGTCATCGTCACCATCGTGAATGGTATCAATGCTGTCAATTTTCAAAAGGAGTCATTTAAAACAATCAACAAATCTAGTTATCCTATGCTTCTTCTTATATAAATTAACTGAAACACTCTTACAGTATGGTACACGTATTGAAATTTATAAAACTGTATGCATAGCATTAACAAATTTTACAAAACCTAATGAAAATTTTTGTTCTGATGAAAATTATGTGAATGAAAAGCAACAAGATACAAGAAATTATGAAATGTTAACAAAAGTTCAAAAAGCATCAGGAATCTATTTATTAATATATCGTATACTGCTAAATTTACCAGCGGCTATTGCATGCCTTATTTATGGTGTTTGTTCAAATAAATTTGGTCGTAAAATCTCTATGCTTATACCATGTTTAGGTGCAACAATTGCATGTACACTGTTTAGTGCAAGTCTGTCACCAGAAATAAATTTAATCTATGGATCTACAACATTAATATTAATCGGTGGAACTATATATGGGATATGCGGTAAAAGTAGTGCTGTTACTATGGGTGCTAATAGTTATATTACTGATATGAGTAGTACAAGTAATCGTACACGTATGCTTGGACGTTTACTTGGTGTAAATTGTCTTGGTTTAACAATTGGTACATTATTTTTAGCCTTATTTTTAACTTTTTTAAGTTATACTGAAATTATAATCTTTTGTATAGTTAATAATTTACTTATTGTTATAATATTATTATTTTTTGTGGCTGATTCAAGAAATGAAGAGAATTCACCTGTATTAGGTGAACATTCCTTATCATTAACATCGACTACATTATCTAAGAATGAACAGATAATGCATACAAATCAAAATGGAACAAATTTCAAAACAGGCGGTCATAAACATCACCATGACAATGTAAATAATAGTGCGAATAAACAATTATGTGAATCTTTAATAAGCATATATGAACAATTTAAATTATCTTATAATTTTATATTTAAAAAATATCATAATGAAAAACGTAATTTCTTGTTAATTCTTTTAGGTACTGTATTATTTAATCAAATGACAAAATCAGGAGAACAAGACATAATTCTTTTGTATTTACGTAATAAACCAACATTATGGACTAGTCAGTTATATGGTTTTTATATGGCATGTTATTATGGTTGTATGTTTTTACACTTAACATTATTCTTACCAATAATTGAACATAGGTATACACCACATGATACTACATTAATTTTAATTGGTTTATCATTGAAAATATTTCGTTTATTATTATTTTCTATTACAATGAATAAATTTTGGATATTTTTTGGTGCAATAATAGGTTCAGCTGCTGGCTACATTACATCAGCTACACGTTCATTAATTAGTAAACTTGTTAAAGGTGATGAAATTGGTGCATCTTTTGCTCTTATTTCAATTATGGAAACAATTGCTAATTTATTTGGTGGAATGTTATTCACGCTAGTTTATAATTATACTTTAAATTATATTTCATCATTTATTCTACTCTTTGATGCATTTTTACATATATTAGTATTCATTTTAATTATTTGGTTACGTTTTAAATTTCTTATTTATGAGAAAAGTTCAAATAATATTATGCATATTAGTCAAGATTTTATCGATCAATCATAAAGTGGTTATTTTGGTTTTTGTTGTAAAAATTTGAACTTCAGCAATTGGTGATCTGCTTGAATCACTGAACTACCAAAATTTTCATCTTTTCTGTATTTCTTATTGTTTTTAATTGTACAATTATATTAAATGACCATCATATGAACTCACAGGCATATTTCATAAACACGCCATCCCCCTTCACACACACACACACACACTAAACCCTGTGCAGTTCTTCAAGAAGAAAATAAAGGAAAAATGTACAGAGATGAACCTTTCTTCATATGCAACAAGGTTACGTAATATCATATACTTCATATTATTACTTTACATGTAAATCCTGTATGAAGGGAAAATATTATAGAACTAGGTCTTCTGGAAATTTCTCTAACATATATTGTGGATAATAACTAATGGGTTTAATAATCTATCTATCTATCTACACTGCTGTCATATTTTATGGTACTTATTTTGTGATATTTTTGAGTTCGGTAACATTTAATGTTGTATATAAATACCTTCCACGATTTTTTCTTGTACAAATACGATTTGTGTAATATCTGTTACATTTCATATGTCCGACTGTACATTTTACATCTGTGATATATAAGTCTTTGTATGTTATAAGACTATTTATTCTTTATGCGTTAGTGGATCATGGTGTTTAGGTGAGTGATCTGAGGTCATGATTTATCATAATCAACTGTTGTAGATTCGCTACAGATATTATTAGCCTTTTAGTTCAGATGTAGTAATAATGATTGAGTGAAGGTTAAATTATTTGAAAAGAAACTTTTTTATTGTCGGATAACGATTATCACTGTTGTTAAAAATGTCCATCTAAAACATTTACTAGGCTAAGGATCTTTTTCACCTCCATTTGGAGTTAGACTGACTGACTGACTGACTGGTTTCAACGTAGAACATTGCAGAGATGTGCAGCAGTTTGAGTTGCCACACTTCACACACCTATCACACAAAGCAAGAAAACAGAGTAAAAAGAGATTCAAAACAGAGATAATAAGCAGAGATATGAGGCAAAAAGAATAGTAATATGAACGAACCATATAGTTTTATTGGAAATTATCAGTCACACGGAGTGGATGCATCTGAGCCATCACCGATAACAATTTTGATCAAAATCACCGATCGTCTACAGCCTGCATTGGTTTTTCCCATCCCAACGACCTCAACCAGTCAGGAAGTGTACACCTTCCTAGGTGGTTAACTGGCTTAAACTAACTGTTGTGGATTTCACTGACTGATGAACCCATACTTTGGTTAGACGACGTTAAGGTTAGACAGTTTCACGATTAAAATGATTCGAAAGTAGAACACTCTCAAACAAAATAAGTAAGAGTACAGGAAGTGTACAGTAATGTAATAATATAGGAAAATAATGAAAAACAGTTTAGAAAATTAAATATTCCCATAATTTATTCAGAACAAAATATTGAGAGCGAACAATTGTTTTCAATAAATTCTTCTTCAGGCTCTACAATTATAAATCCATTAATGTAAGCATACAATAGCCAGTAAAGGCGAATTAGAATCATATCAGAAAGTGTATTGTGGAACAAGTATAAGATGGGATGAAACAATAGTCATATAGTTTTTTAATATGCATGGTCAATAACAACATGGGACAGAATGAGATGAAATAATTTAATTTAATGATGTGTGTATATATATAAATATAGTTAACAGAAAATACAGGTTTCAAGAGTGAGTGTAATCAGGGTGTGTGAGGCAATATGAAAATAAACCAACGAATGGGGCGGTCTAGACTTAAGTTCAAGGTTGAAAATAACAACAATAAGAATGATTGTAAAATAATAACGATGATATGGTGTAAAATTAAAATTAAATGTACTATTGGTGAATGATTGTCAAATAATAATAATGAATATAATGAAGTGGAATGAACAGGATTTTGTAAATACGATAGTAAGTTAGAAAAGCACTATTTAAACCTAAGGTAATAAAATCATAAGAAAGGTCATGAAATCATAAAAGTCGAAAATGAACGTTTGTCAATGAAACAGAGGAATAGAAGAAGGAAAAGAAAAGAAAATCGCGAAAGGAATTTATAGTGTTAATGGAGGATTTGTTGGCTTTATTGTAGGCCAAGGTAAACATAGAGGTTGAACATACTTCTTCTGTATGCAGAGGGATGGTCTTCTGGTATTAATTGCAACTGCTTCAGCTACTGATAGAAGACGTAGTCGAGCTCCTCTAGATAAATTACTAGGAACGCGGTAAATAACTGAGAACGCTTGGTCAAGTTTTATCGGGTGTCCAGTATCTACCAAGTGGGCTAAGACTGCACTATTTATGCCTTTGGTTACTCCTTTACTCAACCATACAGGTACATGTTCACGTGCGCGCATGGATAAAGCCCTCTGAGTACGGCCAATATAACTAGCTCCACATGAGCAGTTGAATTCGTAGATGCACATTGATGAGGCCATCTTTGGTAATTTATCCTTTACTTGCTGTGTGAGTACTGGTTTAGTTGAGAAGTTTAGTACCAATTTAGCTGCGGGAAATGTTCTATCTATTGCTCTATTGAGTCGACACTTTAGAATGTCAGCTGCAATTTCCCCTTTGTAACTTAACTTAAGATACAAAGGTTTCTTGTCTACGGTATCCACCTTTACCCTGTCTATAGGTATTGACATATACTTTCTTAGGAAGCTCTGTGGATATCCATTCTCTTGCAGTGTGAGTTTTAGTTTATGCATTTCTTCCTTAATGCATTCCTCTGAGCATATTCGTTTTATTCTGTAGCTAAGACACTTAACTAAGTTTCTTTTATGCTGAATCGGTGTGAAACTATGGAAATGGGTGTACTGACCCGTCCAAGTTTTCTTTCTAAATAATTTCCTTTGTAGATATCCATCTGTCTTCATGGTAAGTAGGACGTCTAGGAAAGGTAAACTGTTATTGTCTTCTTCTTCACATGTAAACTGAATAGTTGGGTGAACACTATTAACGGTATTCAGAAGCTCTTGTTTATTAAGATTTCTATTACAAACGATAAACGTATCATCTACGTATCGACAATAATAGTCAAACCCTTTAATCGTGTCTTTGAGTGGACCATTTTCAAGCTTTGCCAGGAAAATATCCGCTAGCAAAGGGCCCAAAGGTGATCCCATGGCTACCCCATCAACTTGTCTATAAAAACCATTATTGAACATAAACTGAACATTCATAGTGCACTTCAATAATAATTCTTTGACCTTTTCGGGTGGGATTCCTACATCTATTTTCTTTTCTATCAGCTGGTCACATATGTAGTTGACTGTTTCAAGCAGTGGGACATTGGTGAATAATGATGCTACATCCAGTGACATCATTTTCTTTCCCTTTACATTCAAGCTTTTGGTAGTTTCCACAAAGCTGAATACGTCTTTTACACTGAATTTCACTACTTCGCGATGTAGTGGTTCTAGTGCCTTTACCAACCACTTAGCTGTAGAATGATAAGGGGATTGGCACATATCTAAGATGGGACGTAGTGGTACTCCCGGCTTATGGACTTTCGGTAAACCATAAAGTCTTGGTGTGTGCGTACCTGAGGGTTTCAATTCGTCGAGTGTTTCTTTAGGAATCAGATTACTCTCAACTAATGATTTTAGTGTCTTGGCCATTTGGCGTTCGGTTGCCTCCGTTGTGTCTTTACAACTGCTTAGCTTTTGAAATTTCGTATGGTCGTTTAGAATGATATTCATTTTGTCTAAATAATCACTCTTGTTCATGATAACTGTGCCAGATCCTTTATCAGGTCTAGTTATTATCAGATTTTCGTTCTTTTTGAGGTCACGTAATGCCTCTCGGTGTTTCTTTGTAAGTAGACTGTTGGCGGGATGTTTGCTGTTCTTAAACTGGTAGCAGGAATCGATTAGGGTACTTTTAAATCTTTCTAGCTCATACTTGGACGTAGGAGTTAGGTCGCTTGTCTGGGCAAATAGGTTTTCAAATTGGACATCAGTCTCTAAATGATCAACCTGATTACGTCTGTCACAGAATTTTAAACCGAGAGATAAGGCTTCAAGCTGTGTCTTATCTAAGCATACAGAGGAAAAATTGAAAACGTACCGGTTATAGTCAATTGGAAAATGAGTTTCAGTCGTTTCTGTATCTAGTCCTTTGGTTAATAATATCAATTTCTTGCTTTCTCGAGTTTTTAGAACTTCATTAACGTAGTTAATAAATAAATCCTTCAGGTTTTGAGGAAGTTCATCGACGGCGTAAAGTCTTTGAGAAATATTTCTCTCTAGTTCAGATATATAAACTTGAAGTGATTCGATTTGATTAACGGCGAATCGCTTTAGTGACTTCTGATTCGGTCGTGTTTTGCATCGACGAAGGGATTTTGAATATAATTTAGGATACCTGTTGTTCACAATACAATTTCGAATAAATTCCATATGCGTTTTCGCTTCTGTGAGCCTAGCACTATACTTCAGGTACTCATTAAGTGCCTTTAGAGCTACGGGATGCTCACTAGATTTCAGTAAATTAAATATTCCCATAATTTATTCAGAACAAAATATTTAGAGCGAACAATTGTTTTCAATAAATTCTTCTTCAGGCTCTACAATTATAAATCCATTAATGTAAGCATACAATAGCCAGTAAAGGCGAATATGTGACAATCCCCTTATCATTCTACAGCTAAGTGGTTGGTAAAGGCACTAGAACCACTACATTGCGAAGTAGTGAAATTCAGTGTAAAAGACGTATTCAGCTTTGTGGAAACTACCAAAAGCTTGAATGTAAAGGGAAAGAAAATGATGTCATTGGATGTAGCATCATTATTCACCAATGTCCCACTGCTTGAAACAGTCAAATACATATGTGACCAGCTGATAGAAAAGAAAATAGATGTAGGAATCCCACCCGAAAAGGTCAAAGAATTATTATTGAAGTGCACCATGAATGTTCAGTTTATGTTCAATAATGGTTTTTATAGACAAGTTGATGGGGTAGCCATGGGATCACCTTTGGGCCCTTTGCTAGCGGATATTTTCCTGGCAAAGCTTGAAAATGGTCCACTCAAAGACACGATTAAAGGGCTTGACTATTATTGTCGACACGTAGATGATACGTTTATCGTTTGTAATAGAAATCTTAATAAACAAGAGCTTCTGAATACCGTTAATAGTGTTCACCCAACTATTCAGTTTACATGTGAAGAAGAAGACAATAACAGTTTACCTTTCCTAGACGTCCTACTTACCATGAAGACAGACGGATATCCACAAGGGAAATTATTTAGAAAGAAAACTTGGACGGGTCAGTACACCCATTTCCATAGTTTCACACCGATTCAGCATAAAAGAAACTTAGTTAAGTGTCTTAGCTACAGAATAAAACGAATATGCTCAGAGGAATGCATTAAGGAAGAAATGCATAAACTAAAACTCACACTGCAAGTGAATGGATATCCACAGAGCTTCCTAAGAAAGTATATGTCAATACCTATAGACAGGGTAAAGGTGGATACCGTAGACAAGAAACCTTTGTATCTTAAGTTAAGTTACAAAGGGGAAATTGCAGCTGACATTCTAAAGTGTCGACTCAATAGAGCAATAGATAGAACATTTCCCGCAGCTAAATTGGTACTAAACTTCTCAACTTAACCAGTACTCACACAGCAAGTAAAGGATAAATTACCAAAGATGGCCTCATCAATGTGCATCTACGAATTCAACTGCTCATGTGGAGCTAGTTATATTGGTCGTACTCAGAGGGCCTTATCCATGCGCGCACGTGAACATGTACCTGTATGGTTGAGTAAAGGAGTAACCAAAGGCATAAATAGTGCAGTCTTAGCCCACTTGGTAGATACTGGACACCCGATAAAAATTGACCAAGCGTTCTCAGCTATTTACCGCGTTCCTAGTAATTTATCTAGAGGAGCTCGACTACGTCTTCTATCAGCAGCTGAAGCAGTTGCAATTAATACCAGAAGACCATCCCTCTGCATACAGAAGAAGTATGTTCAACCTGTATGTTTACCTTGGCCTACAATAAAGCCAACAAATCCTCCATTAATACTATAAATTCCTTTCGCGATTTTCTTTTCTTTTCCTTCTTCTATTCCTCTGTTTCATTGACAAACGTTCATTTTCGACTTTTATGATTTCATGACCTTTCTTATGATTTTATTACCTTAGGTTTAAATAGTGCTTTTCTAACTTACTATCGTATTTACAAAATCCTGTTCATTCCACTTCATTATATTCATTATTATTATTTGACAATCATTCACCAATAGTACATTTAATTTTAATTTTACACCATATCATCGTTATTATTTTACAATCATTCTTATTGTTGTTATTTTCAACCTTGAACTTAAGTCTAGACCGCCCCATTCGTTGGTTTATTTTCATATTGCCTCACACACCCTGATTACACTCACTCTTGAAACCTGTATTTTCTGTTAACTATATTTATATATATACACACATCATTAAATTAAATTATTTCATCTCATTCTGTCCCATGTTGTTATTGACCATGCGTATTAAAAAACTATATGACTATTGTTTCGTCCCATCTTATACTTGTTCCACAATACACTTTCTGATATGATTCTAATTCGCCTTTACTGGCTATTGTATGCTTACATTAGTGGATTTATAATTGTAGAGCCTGAAGAAGAATTTATTGAAAACAATTGTTCGCTCTCAATATTTTGTTCTGAATAAATTATGGGAATATTTAATTTTCTAAACTGTTTTTCATTATTTTCCTATATTATTACATTACTGTACACTTCCTGTACTCTTACTTATTTTGTTTGAGAGTGTTCTACTTTCGAATCATTTTAATCGTGAAACTGTCTAACCTTAACGTCGTCTAACCAAAGTATGGGTTCATCAGTCAGTGAAATCCACAACAGTTAGTTTAAGCCAGTTAACCACCTAGGAAGGTGTACACTTCCTGACTGGTTGAGGTCGTTGGGATGGGAAAAACCAATGCAGGCTGTAGACGATCGGTGATTTTGATCAAAATTGTTATCGGTGATGGCTCAGATGCATCCACTCCGTGTGACTGATAATTTCCAATAAAACTATATGGTTCGTTCATATTACTATTCTTTTTGCCTCATATCTCTGCTTATTATCTCTGTTTTGAATCTCTTTTTACTCTGTTTTCTTGCTTTGTGTGATAGGTGTGTGAAGTGTGGCAACTCAAACTGCTGCACATCTCTGCAATGTTCTACGTTGAAACCAGTCAGTCAGTCAGTCAGTCTAACTCCAAATGGAGGTGAAAAAGATCCTTAGCCTAGTAAATGTTTTAGATGGACATTTTTAACAACAGTGATAATCGTTATCCGACAATAAAAAAGTTTCTTTTCAAATAATTTAACCTTCACTCAATCATTATTACTACATCTGAACTAAAAGGCTAATAATATCTGTAGCGAATCTACAACAGTTGATTATGATAAATCATGACCTCAGATCACTCACCTAACACCATGATCCACTAACGCATAAAGAATAAATAGTCTTATAACATACAAAGACTTATATATCACAGATGTAAAATGTACAGTCGGACATATGAAATGTAACAGATATTACACAAATAGTATTTGTACAAAAAAAAATATACAACATTAAATGTTACCGAACTCAAAAATATCACAAAATAAGTACCATAAAATATGACAGCAGTGTAGATAGATAGATAGATTATTAAACCCATTAGTTATTATCCACAATATATGTTAGAGAAATTTCCAGAAGACCTAGTTCTATAATATTTTCCCTTCATACAGGATTTACATGTAAAGTAATAATATGAAGTATATGATATTACGTAACCTTGTTGCATATGAAGAAAGGTTCATCTCTGTACATTTTTCCTTTATTTTCTTCTTGAAGAACTGCACAGGGTTTAGTGTGTGTGTGTGTGTGAAGGGGGATGGCGTGTTTATGAAATATGCCTGTGAGTTCATATGATGGTCATTTAATATAATTGTACAATTAAAAACAATAAGAAATACAGAAAAGATGAAAATTTTGGTAGTTCAGTGATTCAAGCAGATCACCAATTGCTGAAGTTCAAATTTTTACAACAAAAACCAAAATAACCACTTTATGATTGATCGATAAAATCTTGACTAATATGCATAATATTATTTGAACTTTTCTCATAAATAAGAAATTTAAAACGTAACCAAATAATTAAAATGAATACTAATATATGTAAAAATGCATCAAAGAGTAGAATAAATGATGAAATATAATTTAAAGTATAATTATAAACTAGCGTGAATAACATTCCACCAAATAAATTAGCAATTGTTTCCATAATTGAAATAAGAGCAAAAGATGCACCAATTTCATCACCTTTAACAAGTTTACTAATTAATGAACGTGTAGCTGATGTAATGTAGCCAGCAGCTGAACCTATTATTGCACCAAAAAATATCCAAAATTTATTCATTGTAATAGAAAATAATAATAAACGAAATATTTTCAATGATAAACCAATTAAAATTAATGTAGTATCATGTGGTGTATACCTATGTTCAATTATTGGTAAGAATAATGTTAAGTGTAAAAACATACAACCATAATAACATGCCATATAAAAACCATATAACTGACTAGTCCATAATGTTGGTTTATTACGTAAATACAAAAGAATTATGTCTTGTTCTCCTGATTTTGTCATTTGATTAAATAATACAGTACCTAAAAGAATTAACAAGAGACTACGTTTTTCATTATGATATTTTTTAAATATAAAATTATAAGATAATTTAAATTGTTCATATATGCTTATTAAAGATTCACATAATTGTTTATTCGCACTATTATTTACATTGTCATGGTGATGTTTATGACCGCCTGTTTTGAAATTTGTTCCATTTTGATTTGTATGCATTATCTGTTCATTCTTAGATAATGTAGTCGATGTTAATGATAAGGAATGTTCACCTAATACAGGTGAATTCTCTTCATTTCTTGAATCAGCCACAAAAAATAATAATATTATAACAATAAGTAAATTATTAACTATACAAAAGATTATAATTTCAGTATAACTTAAAAAAGTTAAAAATAAGGCTAAAAATAATGTACCAATTGTTAAACCAAGACAATTTACACCAAGTAAACGTCCAAGCATACGTGTACGATTACTTGTACTACTCATATCAGTAATATAACTATTAGCACCCATAGTAACAGCACTACTTTTACCGCATATCCCATATATAGTTCCACCGATTAATATTAATGTTGTAGATCCATAGATTAAATTTATTTCTGGTGACAGACTTGCACTAAACAGTGTACATGCAATTGTTGCACCTAAACATGGTATAAGCATAGAGATTTTACGACCAAATTTATTTGAACAAACACCATAAATAAGGCATGCAATAGCCGCTGGTAAATTTAGCAGTATACGATATATTAATAAATAGATTCCTGATGCTTTTTGAACTTTTGTTAACATTTCATAATTTCTTGTATCTTGTTGCTTTTCATTCACATAATTTTCATCAGAACAAAAATTTTCATTAGGTTTTGTAAAATTTGTTAATGCTATGCATACAGTTTTATAAATTTCAATACGTGTACCATACTGTAAGAGTGTTTCAGTTAATTTATATAAGAAGAAGCATAGGATAACTAGATTTGTTGATTGTTTTAAATGACTCCTTTTGAAAATTGACAGCATTGATACCATTCACGATGGTGACGATGACAATAATAATAACAATGGTGGTGACAACAATAATCTTATCAATGTTAAAGATAGTAATGCTGTCTAAAACTCAAAACAACCAACTGTATGCTAACATTAAAAGAAGAAAATAAAAGAAAATATTGCCACGAATCTAAGCTACTTAAAGAGATTGTCTTTTTATATATACCTAAACCAATCGAATGTTAGTTAATCTGTCGCATACTGATTGGTAGATGAAAAATAATAGAATAAATTATGTCTAGATTACTTCTGTTTTGAAGATTAGAATTAGTAGTAAAAAAGAATGCAAAAATCATTTTCTATATTGATATTATTATTATTGTTATTGGTCGCCAAGGTTTTGAGTAGAGTATAGTGAATGCTTCATCAGAACATTTCCAGTTCAATCTGTCATCTGTTATCACTTTCAGGTGGTTCCACTACTGCTCACAAGCAATCATTCCTTCTTCACATGGCCTCCTCCATGTTAGTGTTGGATGAACACTCAAATCATTACTTCTCATTCGACATTCACTCGAGGGTCTGACGCTTTATTTTCAGCTCATCTCCATTTTCTTGTTCTTATTTATTGGGCGTTGTTTCTTAGATGTTTCGCTGCCACATTTCCTAATTGCTTCTTGTTTCTGGTGAGCTATCTGATCCACAGTATCAAGTCAATGAAGGCATCTATTGGTGAGAGTTTCTAGTAGCTTGCTGGAAATGATTTTGATAACGCTCTTGAAAAGTCTATCAACCAAATAGAAGCACCGACTAACTTGGCATTAGCGTTAAATAATCAGATCTGATTTTTTGTGCCGAGTGAATGTTAGAGATGTTCACACTGATTTCATCGCAGAGAGATGAAAGTAGGAGAGTTTCGCTCTCGTGATACGATCGCATGTGACTTTAGTATCCTTATTCGAACAGCCACCTGTTATTGAGAAGATACTGACTAAGTTAGACAAGTGAAAGAGGTAAGTTTGTTTAGATTTCTGGCATTGACAGTGGCTGGTTCTCGTTATTTTCGGTGGCGTATTTTCACCTCTGTCTTCTCTATGTTCGTTCAAAACCGTTTCTTCTCTGCTTCTTCTGACAATTCTCTGTATTTCTTATGTAGATCTTCGTGTTCTTAAGATATTACACATAAATCATACAGGAGATCTGAATTTTTTTTGAGGCCTTTTGTCAGCCCAACATATGTCTATTTCCTCCTACTCCACGACCTGCCACAAGATGCAGTTCACTTCAATTAGTAAGGTCATCGCTGATGCTAGAGGAAACCTTGTCTTACTCTTGTCCTCATTTAAAAAATGACTGATTGAGGTTTCTGTTGTGATTTACCAGGCCTCTTGCGTCATTATATATGAGGTTTAAAATATTTTCAGCATTGCACTACATATTGTTGAAGCAGCTGTCACATTTATTTATTATTTTTGATCACAGCTTGATTCCACACTGTATTTTTGGCACAAGTATGGAATTTTCAGCATGGATATCAGTAGCCCAAATTTTGCAGGCCGACCATAGATATCAGGTGTGCGCCGGCAGCGGATCGAACCTCGGACCATGTGCATGGTCGGCGAGCAATACAGAAGACTTTTCCAATGTGGTTGAGCTAACGAGTTGACAAAAGGTTCAGAAATAAACAGTATTAAGCTAACTTAAAATGTTTTCGAATCAACTGTTATTGAAAAAAATTTTAAATATACATCAGTGGCTCTCAAATAGAACAAAATTAATATTAGATGATTGGAGGCAATCGGCAGAAAGCCTTGCTTGACCTAGATTTCGTGCTAGTTGGCACTCATCAGTCAGCAAGGCGTATCTTACTGCTGTCCAGTCACAGTATTTACATACAGTCCTAGAGGACGTCAATCGCGAGCCCAAACAACTCAGTGGTTACGTCTTTGATTGCAGCACTGGTTGACGCGGGTTGTAGAAAGGCCTTGCAGACTTGTGAGTGCCAATTAGCACGAAACTTAGGTCAGGCAAGGCTTCCTGTAGATTCCCTCCGATCATCTATTATCATCAAATCAATTTACACCGTGATAGCGACCTACCCTAGAATGTTGGCCATATTGCAAATCTGACTGATAGAATTCAGTCTGCAACAAAGAAAGGACTAGACACATCACACTAGTTACTAGTGTCCAATCAAAGAATCAAATTAAATATTACGTTTAATAACATTTTTCAAGTATGACTGTTACAACAGACTTAAGTAGGTTCTTGCATAACTTCACAGTTTGCCCCAATCCCTTTCATTCATGATGATATTTGTATTTGTGTTTTACGAGAGTCCTTTGGAATCACCAGAACAATGATATATAAACTGACTGGTGATTAATTGGAATTTGAAATCTTCAATGATGTATTCACTGTAACAGATTCCATGTTGCTATTAAATAATCTGATTAACTTATCTGTCAAGACGTAATTACTAACTAAACTATGTTCATCAGCTTTTCAATGAGCACGCTGACCTTATTAAAAACAGTAATAAGAACTACTATATGCTGGAATTTAGTCAGTAGGTTTTGTACCCATAAAAACTCATTTTCGGAAAAATTCCTCAGTTCTTTGTCATCCTGTTAATTAAGCAGGCGATCCTGAATTTTCAAGAAATCATGAATAATCTCAAATGTATTGTAATAAAGGTGCTAAGCAGAAAGAAACCTATGTCAAACAATTCTTTCTGATGATTGGTTGGAGGATTTCGTCATGAGCTGACATTAGTTAGAGAACCATTGGAAAACGACCTGGGAGTGATGGACATCTAGCCGTCTCGTCAGACCATTTCGGGACTCTTCAGTAGCAGGTACCCACCGCCATGGGTCGGACCCATGACCTTCTGATTACAAGGCCAGCTATCTCGTAGACGATTAAGCTGCTGGGGTACAATCCAATGAGCAGTCCATGAATTCTGACTTCTGTCAATTCACGACAAAGCGCGACCGCTAGCCAAAGTCTGTGGTAAGCATTTGTCCTCACATTCGACCTGCTGCATCCTACTGGTCACGATTTCCCACTAGAACCCCATGTAACCACCTACTTGGACAGGGCCAGTCGCTAGTGAGCATCTCACTGGTATTCAAGTGTTGGTTTGTAGACATCTGATTGATTTGGTTACAGGATTTCATCATGTGTCATAACCAGTGGATTGCATCAGGTCGGGTGTGAGGACAAATACTCACCGAAGACATTGGCTAGCGGCCGCACTATGTCGTGAATTAGCAAATTAGAATTCATGGTCTAGTCACTGGATCGATTCCCAGTGGTTTAACGGTCTACAAGCTGGCTCATCGTGTAACCAGAAGGTCGTGGATTCGAACCATGGTGGTGGGTGCGTACTGATGAAGAAGCTACTGCAAGATATCTTTGATTAGAAAATTATAGTAGTAAGCAAATTGTCTTGACAGTAAGTGTGAAAAATCTTGATCTCCAAAGTCTGCACGGTTTCATAAATAGAGCACAAGCGAGAGTAATCATTGGCACATGAGAATAAGATAAACACAATTCGCCACATAAACTGTGCAGACCATTTACAATATTAAGTTGGTTCATTCACCGACGAGATACTCTTGAGGATTTCGGCGATGAGATGCTACATCCCACTTCTCAACATATGTTGACTAATAAAACCACAAATTCCAAATATTGTTATGTTAAAATGTCTAAATATACTTCAAATAAGGGTGACGTTACTCCTAAAGATGACACTAAGTCTGACGGTAAGATATCTGCAATCAAATATCAAATCTTGGAGAACACTGGACAATCTCCAACATTATCCCGATCTAAAAATAACTTGAATAAGCTAATATATGTATTATTGTATATTTTTATTCCTAGAGGAACATAGGGCTTCAGCTGCGCATCTTTATTGCCTTTGGTTTTCTGCCAACTTTTTCACCCGCTCCAAGTCTGCCCACATGCTTTCATCTCCTCTTCACATGACCTCCTACAAGTCACCCTCACATTGACGACCAACTCGCCGCTTCCCTTTCGGGTTCCACTCGAGCAATGGCTTGTCCAGTGATGGAAGTTAATAAAGTGTTCTTGAACAGAGCTCTTCACAACTGTAGTTTCATTCTGAACTATACTTTCGTTTTCGTCTGCAAAAAATTCTTCGGCCACGGCTGACGTAACTTTCTTCAAAGGAACGAGTGAACTGATAAATGCACATAGTGTCAAGCAATAAAAAAAAGATTCTATCGCACAAACGAATTATAGCTTCCAGCTATTTTTATTTATTTTATTCCTTTATACCCCCAGTAGAACATAGGGTACCCTCAAGCTAGAGGCTTGAAGTTTCGGTAGCAGTGATGTTTTTTCTTACAGGATGGGGTTGCTAGCTTCATGCCTAACCTTCCCTCTTTAAACGGTCTTATTATTCGTTTAGCGAGGTAAAGGAGTGTGCCGGTGGCCGGGGATCGAACTTCGAACCACCTGCGTGGTTGGCTAGCATTCTAACCCTGTGCCCTCGACGTACTAACTTCCAGCTACTGGACGCTATATGGAGTTTGATTGTGAACATCCCCTCCAAAATAGTTTAGAAAGACAATTTTTAATTCAGACGCTGTTTTCACGTCAATAACGAATACTAATCTTAGATTTGTATTTAGTAATCTATACATGTGACTTGTTTTATTCAGATTATTTTGTTTCACTGGTTAGATTTAACTAAACTCCAAAACAGTTCCTGCTGCCTAAATTCTCTCTCTTGACGATAGTCGTTTGGAAGGTGGACAGTGTGGAAAAAAGCTACTCAACATCCACAGTTTCTGATCGCTTGAATATACAACAAATTGAAGATAAGATGGCCTTAAAGGATTAGAAACATGGAATGAAATAACCAAGAATCTACTGCTCAACGAATTTGTCGACGAAAATGGAGATGGATGTGATGTATGCTGAAAAGGTCGTTCTCCGACATCACCGATCAGATCCTTGCATGGAACATCCGAGACCACTAGTTGACATTCGAGGGTGATGTGGAAGAGATCATGAGACAAGATGAAAGTTTATGATAAATCGTGTAACCAGCTAAAGAGGACTGTAAAGAACAGTAGATGACAACGGCTGAATACTTCAGAGTGTATAGCCTGTTGTTCACAATGGAGACAGTACACTC